GTTTTTTGGCCCGACGAAAACCTTGGGCCAAAGCGGGCCAGCTGGGGTTAGAGGAGTGGTTATGAACATAGGCGGAGTTTCTCCGCGTCTGGAGAGTGTCAGTGCCGCGGATCATTTGATAAAGTTAACAGCTATAACACCAGCATTAAAGACTTAAAATAATTTTAGTTCAAATCTCACTTTCAGACAGCAGCGAGTGTTTGAAATAACTTGATCCGATGTGGATTAGGATCACCATACAAGGCAGAAATATTTATAAGCGATGCAAAAGACTATACACGCTAGCCATTAATGTTACCATAGTAAACATGGTAAATACGACTGCTTGAAGAAATCAGACGTAAGCTTCTTATTCTCTATTACAATCATGTATTTATTTAGTAACATTTTATCTGTCATAAGTCTCCTCTCGAGAGTTTAGCTCCGCATATGTCATACAAATATAATGTTAAAAATAATAATGTTTTTTGTCCGGGAGCTTTTATAAAAACATAGAAATTATCATTCTTTCTAAATGTGATGTAGCCTATATACTGTGACTACAAATAAACAGAAACAGACTCGACTGAATAAGTAGGTATGCTATGTTCATACCGCTTTATTTCTGTGTGACTAATTTTTAATCCTGATAAATTAATTCATTATGATCAATGTTTCACTTATTACTGTAAAACATCGGTGCTTTTGGATTTAAATATTTAACAAAGCATGCAAACAAACGGCCGCTTTTATCATGTTCGTTTTGTGATCGCGCTAGTTCCAGTGACTTATTTCTTATTAGTTTTCTGATAACTTCTCTTTGTTGGTGAAATGATGGGGTTGCGTGACGTTGTTCCTGAGAGGCGTGTAAAGGGCGGGTTTTAGTGAAGCGCAGCGGAGCTTCTGGCCCGACCGTGGAAACACAGCGTGATTTTGGCCTCGGTGCTACAGGTCTGAAGCTATTAGCCCCGCCCGGCCTGTTTTTTTTGGGTGAACTATCCCTTTAAGAGGGCACTTAGTCTCATCCTCAAGCGATAACTGGACAAAACTGGTTCCAATCGGACTGTCACACAGCTACACAGTTTCTGTGAGTAAGGTAACACTGGTTATTAACAGCCTGGTAAGAAAGTTGTGTTGATATAATGTGAACTAATTAGATGCAAAGTGGACCAGACCCTATTATGATGGTTAAATTCTGACGTTAGACGAGACAGCAATAGATGCAAGTAATTGTGCCTGTTGACCCCTTCTTGGTATTTGTGTCAGTGAATGTGTCCAGAGGGTAAATGCTCAGAATGGGGCAGGGCTTGTCCAAACATGTGAAGCCATTTTGCTTAGTGTGGTGATGAAAGCTGTGCTGTTGTCATAACCAGAAAAAAGTGACCCATGTCTTCTGCAGCAGAAAGCGCCACAGTGTCTGCTGATTATTTAGTAAAGGAGACATTTGCCATATACTAGTTGCATAATGAATCACCATAGCAAGAATCTCTCATTTGAAAAGCAGCATGTTGGTGTGAAATACCTGTTCCATTAGTGTCCACCATGAGGCCCTGATTGACATGCCTCTGGATGAGAAGTAGGGTCTGCTCAAAAATCTCTCCAGCTCTGGCCTGCTCCACTGTGTAGGGGTCCCGGGGGTAACGAAACAGAGCCAGAAGCTCGGCAGGGGTACGAGGAGATCTGATGATGGTGGAGAACACATTAACTTCCACATTCACAAAAGCCATTCAGACTCACTCTGGAAGAGAATACACATTAGCAAACTGCAGACCTGCATTACATCTAACAGATAAGTAGACCAATCTCATAGCACAATCTCATAATTTCTTATTAATCAATTCAAAACTTTTTTCAAACTGTGGACAGTGGACAGGCAAGACACTCCAGGTAAATAGGGTAAAAATCAATTTAATAGATGTCACCATGTTTTCCCCTATTGATTGATTATATGTGACCCTGGATCACAAAAGCAGTCATAAGTAGCACAGGTATATTTTTAGCAATAGCCAACAATACATTGTATGTGTCAAAAATCCGTGTATCACTTGATCATTAGTTTTTTGATTTAATATTGAAAGTAGAAAAATGAGAAAACTGCTCCTTTTTCGTTTTTTTCCAAAAAGCGAAAAACGAGAATTCAGCTTAAATTTTCGTTTTTTGTTCAGGGGTAGAAAAATGAATAAACAGCAGAATAGTCCTCTGCTGCTGCAGTTGTACAGATTCTTAAGGCATTTATTGCAACTACATTTAATCTTTTTTCATCAAACAAACAGGCTGAATAGCTCGACACAACTCATACCGGGGCAGAGTCTAGACAGGGCTTTCTTCTGTGTAGATATAAATTCTATTCTTTGCATCAGCTGGGCATGGCAGGGGATGATATGACAGCTGTCATAGCCTACCCTGCTCACCCAGTAAGTCTGTTTGTTTAAGAAATTAATTAATTAGTTTCAGAATAAATATTTTAAGCACTAAGACAAAAAGGAAAGCATAATAAATTAGCTTGGGCATATATAGGGCTATAATGTTCATGCAAGAAATGTCATTCTGACTGACAACCGGAGAACAACAGCCTACTGTTAGAGTTTTATAATGTAGTCTTGTGTTTTATTAAAATTGATTTGATATCTCAAAAGGAGATGCATAGGATTATTTTACGACAGATATGCATCCGCTTCAAAAAAAA